TATTTCGGAATGCATGTATGTTTGTGTTTTCATTGCTCAACCTCCAGACCTCACAGCTGAGGACATTTCAAAATGTGTAAACGAAGTCAAATTAGTCTTGCTCGTTAATTGGATGCCATGTAAGCAAGCTTGTGTGCCAAACCACACGCACAGCGCTCTAGGAAGGACTGAATCTGTCTTTTTTTTTTTTTCCCCTCCACTCATTTTAAAATGTTGTTGCGTGCCAGCAGGCCTATCTGGCCCAAGATATTTTGAGTCTGCAAATTAAGAGCAATATTCACACATTAAGACATCTGTCCTTCATTGCCACTGTCAGTTGAGTTCCAAATACAACAGAGTGCGACACAGGGTCCACAGCTTGAACTATAGGGCTCAAAGTGTTCAATCAGACTGCTGGATCCTGTTTAAACACCTTGCCAACTTGCCTCTTCTGACAGTCCACAGGCTGTCACGGTCCAGTTTTTACCCATGATTTGTCTAAGTGGCCATTTTTTCTTTATCATCCTTGAAATTACATGCACTTGAAGGACTTCCATTTAAGCTTTGCACGACGTGCAGGAATTATCGGCCCCACATCCCTGATTCCTTCAGGCTGATTCACTGTTAGCTTTATGGGCTATTTCCAGGTTTGTCTTAGGGATGTTAACGCTTACCCTGGAAAAAACCACTCTGCTTTATTTAACTGTGTGAAAACAAAATATTACCTATATCCTATATTTTCCTTTATAATAAAAAACATGGGATCACATGACTACGTGTAATGTGAAAAGAATTGCTTGTAGCGATGAACCCACAGAAATTCATCACTAAGTCTGCTGTTCCCCTCAGCTCTACCAAAGCTTTATAAGTTCTTTCAAGCTCCAATGTTTTGGTTTTACAGGGCCCACCAAATTCAAAATCCTTCACCCCTTGCCATTCTCATAACAAGTAAGGGTATGTTTGCAGCAGGCAAGGAGTTTTCCAACTACTGGCCTGTCCAGCACACTAACAGGCACAGACAAAGTTAGCTAGCTGGTGAACATAGTGGAGCATTTAGCAGCGAAAGAGACAGATGTTTCTCTCAGGAGTTGGTGGACAGATGGACAAATGTATTCCATATGAGTGCAAAGATGCTGCCCACTGTCTAAGCATTAAAGGAAGAGTGAGGAGATACTGTGAGGAGATAAGAGGGGTAGACTGAAATGAACACATGCTGTGAATGTTAAGGTGAGTTTAGTTATGTTGAGTTATGATGGTGTGCTTGTGCTCGAGGTAAACGTTTTGTTCCATCTGGTTCTAGCTGAACAAATGTAAAAGGTGCTACTATTTCAGAAGCAGCCAGTGGCTCACTGTGCTTCGTGCCGCTGTGGCAGCCTGGTCAGCACCAACCCCATTGTGGTGCCCACTGTGTGCCCAACCTCATGAGTCAGCAGCTTAGTTTGGTGTGGTACATCATGTCTGGTTGTGTCTTGTCGGCATGGTAATCTAATAGAAAGCTGTTATTTTGGTTGGATGGTTTTTGGGATGGTAGACTTGTGTAGTCTGAGGTTCTAAATCCAGACTGCGGATTCAGGATTGTACTATCTTAAATTAGGTGCTTTTCAGCTTTTTGAAATGTCAATATTGACAACGCGGATGAGGCTATGTTTTTTTACTGAGCACCGCTTGACTTGTCTGTGGTCCTGTCAAATTATTGGATGATGGATATTGCTCAACACTAAGTAGAGGTGGTCTGTCATGTTGACATGTTACATTAAAGCTGTTGACAGCTCTTGTGTGGCTTATTTAGGTCAGATTCTGCATTCACAAAATCATTTACTTGAGTATGTGCTGTATACATAGGTGCAAAATGCGTATCCATGTTCCAAGGGTCCTATGTTCCTGAGTTACCTAACCCGCTAACCCTAGACCTGGGGAACATATGACCCTTTGTCGTGTTCCCAGTGTCTGATATATAAATCTGAAGAACATAGAAAATGACCCTGTGTACGCAGTTTCAAGCTGAAATTATAAAAAAGAATGAAGAACGAATAAAAAAGACAAAATTGAAGAGAATTTTCTTTTCAAACATGATGTAACGATGAAGCCGTTAAAAATAGCATCTCAGCATACAATAATACACGCTTCAATAAAACATTGCAATCAACAAATAAAGAGAATGATATTCACTATGGATACAAAGAAAGTGATTTTTCTTACCTTTGAAGTTGCTATGAAGGAGAAACTAAGTTCAGGTGGAGTGTAACCATTTAATGGACATGTGTATTTATCCAGCATGACTGTTTGTTTGATTTGACTGTTTGGGCGCCCTGTTTGTTTTGGAAGGGCTTAAGGAAGTTAAGCAGGAAAACAAGTTTACCCTGAGGTCTGCTTCCCAGACAGGTAGCCCTCTATAGCGGGATTCCATTTTCCTTTTTTTTCCTCCGTCTTTTTGAATAAAAGTGTACCTCTCCACTCACCGGAGTCCCAACTCCCCAACCTCTCCAAACAGCCAGCCCATAGAAAAGCGTGTTTGATGTGTGTGACCAGAGGAGCTACTCCCCTGGTCTTACGACTGGGTTTAACGTCCCCATTGGAAGAGGGAAACCCTTGATGTATAGGTTTACCTGCTCGGTTGCGGTTGAATAACCACAGCGAGAAGGCAGCAGAGGAAAAAGAGCAACACTCATGGTTTCCATTTCTGCCACTGGCTTCACGTGAGCTCATTAAGGCACAGAGCCTGGTGAACAAATATGAAACGCTCCCTTTGTCAGATTAAAGTTTAAAAAAAAAAAAAAAGTAGGATCTGAATTCATGCATAATTTATGAGGGGGTTCAGGTATGTTGGGGGAAACCCAACTAAGCTTTCAGTGAGCCTTTGAAGATTTTGTTTACCTGCTCAACTAATATTGACCATTGCTGTGATCAAAAGCTGGCCATCTAGCAAGGAGAGAAGCCCACAAATAATGTATTGTGTCAATGCAGGACTTATGTACAACTGCTCCCTTGTAACATTTAAACATTTAACCACTCGGTCACATCAGTAATTGTATTAGGGATATTAGAGCGTTTTTTGTTGATGGATGTGTTTGATGTAGTAAAAGACAGGAATATGACAAATAAATATCATCTCCCTAAAAATATAGCAAGCAATCCTAAATTGTATCTTTAAATCTTAACCAATGTCACTTTCTTTCAACTTCAGACCTACAGAAACGGTTTCTCTCTTCCACTCAAACTTAAAAACCCCTTGTCTCATCTTCACCCCACCCCTCTCCTATCACCTCTCTCTTCTCATTTCTTCTCATTTTTTCACTGTGGTATCTTTATGTTTCTCTTTGCTCTGCAGGTGTGGTTCAGCAGAAAGTGTTGGGTATCATCCCATCGAGCACGGCAGGTGGTGCCCAGACCTATACCACATTCCAGCCCCGCACTACCACGCTCAACATCAGGCCCAATACCCCAGGCTCCCAGCAGCAGGTACATCTGCCCTCTCCCTGCTCTGAGGAGGTGTTTTTCATCAATCTGTACATCTTTTACGGTCGCAACTGTAGTCTGTAGAGCTTTGCTTCTTGTTTTGCTTTCATTGTGTTTGCAAAAAGCTCTCATGTTACTGGTTCTGTTGCCTTTGCTGTTGACACTTTATGTATTTTGTATTAATATTGAAAACCAAGTCACTGTTTTTTGTTTGTTTTCTAATCATCTCCAGACATTCTCCTATATGTATGTTGTTTAACAGAAAGATGCTGGCTTTGTGATAATTAATTATTAACTTCTTCATTAAAATATCCTTCTAGGTTCTGGCAGCTGGTGGTCAGATCCGTCCAGGAATGACAGTAATCCGAACACCGATCCAGCAGACGGGACCAATGGGAAAGACGATACTCCGAACTCCCCTTGTGGTCCAGCAAGGTAATGTACTCTTCAGTTGGACACATCGCAACTTCCCCTCACAGAATAACGAGACACTTTAATTCTGAAACTCCAACAACTGAGTAAGCAGACTGGTGACCCCTAGTACCTCCATGTGTGAAAGTCTCGCTAAATTAGTCTCGCTAAATTTGCCATATTTATTTGCCTTTCTCTTCCAGGTCAGGGTGGACAGCAAGTAGTGACGCAGATCATTCGTGGCCAGGCAGTTTCCACGGCAATATCTGGTGCCAGCCCTGTCGCCACTGTCACTGGCCAGGGGGCGGCCAGCCCCACCACAGCAGGGCAGGCAGCAGGACAAACACCACCTGGCACACCACGGGCGCAGGGGCAAGGCCAGGTTAAACTCACCCTGGCACAGCTCACTCAGCTCACACAGGTTAGTGAGGAAGACACTGAAAACAGCCCAAATTGCAAATTATATCAGTATATATATATTATATTTACTCCATGGGACATTCTTGGTGTAAATATATAAGATAAATATATAACGGTGTCTGGTTAGCTCAGTCGGTAGAGCTGGCAACCCGTATATGGAGTTGCTGCAGCAGCCC